CCATTCATTCACGAGTCCTGTCTCCTATTATTTCCAGGTCCCTTTAACCATTCTCTCCTTCGTGTCTGATATGTTTATTATGGCATCTCTCACACTACATTATTAGTTTTTGCCTACTAGGCTATAAACCAAGGCAGAAATTGTCTCTTTCATCTTATTGGGCAAAACACACTGTACATCCTAGATAATTCATAAAGGTTTATTAAATTGAATTGAAATATAATAATGTTTACCTAGAACATGGTATCTAATTCTGAATATTTATTAGAATTGCTTTGGTAAATTAAGGGAGAGGGACAAAAAAATTACTTTAAAGCAGATTTTTGGAAAAAGCAGTAAATGAGTTTTTAAAAAAAAGATACATTTTCCCATGTCCCATCCCAAACCCCATAAAATAGAATCTCTGTTCCTGGAAAACTGGAATCTGTATTTTTAATAAGCTTCCTGATAATTATTTCCCAGGTGGCCTTACACAGGCTGATGATGAATTTGGAGAAACACTGTCTTTAAGTAATAAAGATGACCTGGGAGCAAAGCCCCTTTATATTATATAATCTTGATGCTTAAGGAATTCTAAAGTTCTAATTGACACCAACATTTTTCAGTAAGTGAAACCTCTGAAAGGTATGCTGCTTTGCCTGAAGCACTTTAGGACACCCTGGCTCGTGGCAGACAAGAGTTGGGACTCAGAGGATCTGTTCTCATGCTACCATTTGCCTTTACCCCAGCCCCAGCATATGTAGCAATGAGCAGTAGGAACAATCAAGAAGCAAGTTGAGAATAATTACTCTTGGAGGAATAAACTGACCATAAAATCCAATTTTGAAGCCAAAGGCTTGGATCTGAGTTCTGAAATAACTCAAACTATTGAGAAAGTTATAAACAAACATAAAGCCAGAAGCAGACAGTAATTCTCCAAGTCACCTTGTCTGATGCATTATTTATAAAGTAGGAAATATATTTTGTGCATTTTTTCTTCGTAGACATTCAATAAAACCTCAAGGCAAACAAAGCAATTCCTAATATTCAGTTTCTCAACAGTGTCAGATTCACGCCACACACTCCTGAAGCATCCCCCACTCCTGGGTTGAAGTTTTCAAGACCTTACCCCCATTTGGAATATTCCCAAGTACTACCAGATGGAAAAGACCCTCAGACAGGAGAGGAAGTATAGATCATCTGGCATGGCCTCTTTATTTTACTCGAAAAACAAAGCTGAGAGAGGGAAAAGTGATTTGCAGGCAGCTACCAGCAAAATGGGGTGAAGTTGAGATGGCGGCAGTGTTGAGTCCAAGCAGAGCTCTTACCACCTCAGGAAGTGCATGCTAAATTTTGGGCACTATATACCTGGGGGAAAGGTCTTGGGGTTTCATGAGATTTACAAAGAGGTCCATGACCCTCTGAGTGTTAAGAGTCACTTTCCAGCAGTGTCAAAGCCTCCACCAACCCACAACTCTCTCCTCTGTCCAGCCTCCTCCATGTTACCTGAATTCTGCAATGCCTCACACCTGTCCTGCTGGCTCTGGGTGTGATCTTTTTCCATGTTGCTGCCAGAGGGCTCTTTCTAAAAGGTAAACCTACCCACATGGTATCCCCATCTATAGGTCCCCAAGGGGCATCCAGATTAAAAACCTAAACTGAATATATCACACAAGGTGTTCCCTAAGCTGGCTCTTTCTCTCTAGCCTCAAATTGCTTTCTTTTGCTGCTTTTTTCACCAAAATGAAGACAGGAGCTTCAGCAGGGGAATTTGGTTGGTTTTTGCTTGCCTTTTTATTTTTATGTACTTTTCTCCACCGTCTCCACTTACATCTTCTGTGATCCTTTCTCCCTTTGGTCCCCTCCTAATCTCAGGAATATCACTTTGTTTATTAATGTCTGCTAGATTTTATAAATATTTTACTTTGTCAAATCACCCACAATGTAAATGTATAGTACTTCTCTTTGTCATTCTGATTTGTTTACTACACACAATTCCCTTGCACTCCTTCCAGAGTTTTGTGGCAGGGAACATTTCCATAGACCAACTCCTCAGCCTAAACGTCTTGTGCAGTCTCTTGCCAGCCTCAATCTCTCGGCTGTGTTTGAAGTGCCAAATGAGGACTGTAGGTGAGACAGGGTCACAAGTCAGCAGTTGGTCTGTTTGTTTTTCCACTACAGAGCCTTACCCGGGGGTGCTTGTCCCTGTTGTTAAGATCGAAGTGCTGAAATAATGCTTAGCCAAAGCATTCAGTTTCTCTGTCTTAGTTTTGATGTGGGGTGCGGGTAAGGCAGTATCACAACCTCAGGCTACAAATAAGCCTATTCTATGTGGAGTCACCTGTAGCCAGACCTGAGCTCCCTGACAGTTCAGGTTCCAGCTAAGTTCTATTCGGAAACTCGGACTCAAGCTCTTAATCATCACTCTGAACCTTTGCTCCTATGATTCTCCAACAGTGTCCCCTGCCTCCTGGATGCCAACTCTGTGTACCTTTTATCCAGCATAATGCCAGTCTCCAATGTGGGTATGTGGCCCTGAGTCAGTGACTGTGCGGGGGCTCTGTAGGGCAGATGTCCCTCCCTCTAGTGAGCTGCACTGCTCTAGTATTGCTGTAAACACAGTTAAATTATAGTGGTTTTCCCATCCTATTCTGTGAGACTTTTGCTGCTGATGAAAGCTGTAGTTATCTGTTTATATTTCAGGGTGTGTTAACTTGGCTCTGCTGCAATTTAGTTGTGAATATATGGAGGAGGTGAGCCCAGCACCTTCACTCTGTTGCCATCTTTCCAGACTCCTCTCGAGAGGGGAATTTGAACCCACGTATGTTTGGCACCAAAGCACTAGGTCACTAGATGAAAAAGCTGTGCCTCATAGCAACAAGGAAGGCCCTTCATCTCTGCTTTGACCCTTGATACAATCATGTGTCACTTAAAAATGTTTGAGTTCATCACAGACCACATAAATGACTGAGTTCCCAATAGACTATACCAGATAGCCTAGTTGGGTAGCAGGCTATCCCACCTAGGTTTTTTTAAGCACACTCTCCTGAAATCGGCATGAAGACAAAATCACCTAAGGACCCATCTGTTAGACCATATGCCCATTCTTACACCACACATGACTATAATATACACTTTTGGCACTTTCCTAAATTCATTGAAGACCCAGCCACTCTTGACCTATACACAAGCTCTCCCTAGGAATGGGAGTCCAATGTGATTCATTCTAATACTTAGAATTCAACTGTGATGTATTATATACCAAGTTTGCCACAATATGCCCACTGCTCAGATAAAGGCAAGAATAAAGCACAGCTTCCAATTATTCACGACTAGGGAACTGTGAGCCAAAACCAACATGAAATACCAGTTCACAACCACTAACATGGCTATGATAAAAGACAGTTAATAAACAAGCATTGGCAAGAATGTAGAGAAAATCAGAATTGTTGCTATGAGAATTTAAATTGTTCTTTTGGAAAATAGTCTATCGGTTCCTCAAATAATTAAGCTAGACTTACCATGACTCAGCAATCCCACGCCTAGATATTTACTCATAAAAAGGATAATACACGTCCATGCAAACACTTGCACATAAATGTTCATAGCAGCATTATTCCTGATAACCAAAAAGTAGAAACAACCCGAATGTTCAACTACTGATAAATAAAAAGATGTGGCATACCCATAGAATATCATGGAATATTACTCAGTGATTACAAAGAAACAAAATGTTGATACATGTTACAACATAAATGAACCTTGAAAACATGCTAAATGAAAGGAACCAAACACAAAAGGCCACATATTGTATGGTTTTGTTTATATGAAATGCCCAAAATAATAAAATCTATAGAAGTAGAAAGTAGATTACTAGTGGCCCAAATCTGGGGTCAGGGTATGTGTACTGGGGAAAGGTTGATGAGCAGAAATGAGGAATGACTGCTAATGGGCATGGAATTTCTTTAGAAGTGATGAAAATGATAAAAGTGATTGTGATAACATTGCACGACTCTGTAAATATACCAAAAGCCACTGAACTAGATACTTTAGACAGGTCAGTCATATAGCATGTAATTATATCTCAATAAAATGATTATAAAAACAACCACAAAACACAGTACCTTCATTCAATGAACCTTAGTCTAGACACCTCCTGGGTAACTTCTAAATTGATCTACCCACCCTAGTTTGTCCCAGGACTCTGCCATTTTTAGTACAAAAGTCTCATATCCAGGGAAACCCCTCAGTCTGAGACAAACCAGGACAATCAGTCTCTCTACTAGAATTCTTTCCCACCCACCCCCAGTAGGGACTATATGGACAGAAGACCCAGCAAACGCCCCACCTTCAGGTTCTGGCACTCTGGCATCAGTTGCTGAAATGATTGCTACAGAAAGAAGGTAAACCTCTCATGGTGGGAATATGGGGAATACTCCTCACCCTGGGCCAGCTGACAGCTGATTCTGCAAGAGGCTGTTTAGAGTCAGTTTGTGGCCAGAGAGTAAAGCAACACCCCACGCCAGCCTGCTCCTCCTTGGGAACTGAGAACACAGGGCGGCTGGTCCCCACTTTGGGTCCTGATTTCTTAAGTTCTATCATGGTTCAATCTTTCCTAGAAGAACTCCCCTCCCACCCAAAGTGCTGCCAACACTGCTCTGCACCTCCAGTGGCCCAGCCAAGTGCCTGGGTGGAAAGCTTTCCAGAGAGCAGACCTGGGAGGCTTAATGTTTGGTCTTTCTAAAGCACTTGTAACCATCTGCCACTTCTATGATCCAATTTCAAACAGGGCAAATAGTCCAGCCAGCCTGATCACTTCTAATTGTCACTGAAAGCAGAGGGAAGAGGACAGCTGGATTGTCTCATCAGCTATAGAGCACTGGCCAGAAGTCAGGGTGTTTCCTTCCCCTGCTTCCTAACCCCAACCTCTGGTCCCAAGAGAGGTTGCTCTTCTTCTGCCCACTGCCCCCAACTACTCCTTCCCACCCCCACAAGGCAACTAGGCCCTTTTCACAATTTACCTCTCACTGTGTTGGCACTGCTACAAGTAATTCCCTCCGAACAGGCTCTGGTACAGTAGTGGGCAGACGGCATTTACTCTGGGTCTATTCTGGGAATGAAATTACAATGTGCATTTTAAAATAGTTCATCATTTACTCTCCACATAATAGCCACAATATTATTAATCATAAGTCAGATCATGTCACATCTCTGCTCAAAATCCCCTTTCATTTCCCACTAGCTTTAGAATAAAACCCAAAGTTCCCTCCATGACCCTGTAAGACCCAGAATGATCTAAGCCCTGGCTGCTCCTCCAACCTCATATCTGACCACCCTCTCTCCTTCCCTCCCTCCGCTCCAGACATCCTGGCCTCCATGCTCTTCCCTGAATACTAGGCAAGTTCTTGCTTCAGAGCCTTTGCACATGCTACCTCTTTGACTCAGAAATATTGTTCCCTACATAATACTGTGTCTCTCTCCCTCACTCCCTTGAGGTCTTACTTAAATGTCATCTCCTTAAATGGACTTCCCTCACCATCCTATTATTTTTCTTCATTGCTTTCACTATTAAATATTTCCTTATTTGTCTAACTTCCCTTAGTAGTATATAACATCAGTGAAAGGAGGAACACTATCCTATTTATTGCTGTATCCCCAGGGCCTAGAATAATGCTTCATATGTGATGGGTTTTATCTTTATTAAATGACCACTGTTATTCACTCTCCTTTAGGAGGTAGTAATCAATCTGCCTCCTCTTCACAGGGAAGGAAATTGAGGTGCATAAAGATATTACTAGCCCAAAAGCATGTAAGTGGCAGATATAGAACGTGAACCAAAATCTCTCTGAAGCCAAACCCTATGTTCTTTTAATTATACCACATCACCTCACTTCTGAAACAGTCCTTTGTGGAACTGTGTAGGCAGGGAGCTCAAAAAGGGAAGAGACTCCTCAGAGAAAGAAGGAACCTGCCGCCCTCCCTCTCCACCTCCAACTCTCAGCTGATGTTTTGTGACACTGAAGCTGGGGCAATACCAGCTAGAGACATTTATTGATTTCAAAGTGTGAGTGCAGTGTTAAGGCAGTCCCACCCTAGGACTGAAGTTGCTGGTGGGAAAAAAAAAAAAAAAACCTTCAAATCTCAACTATATCATTAGGACTTACATCCCTTTAGGAGAAGGCTTTAAAGTAATGGAGAAATGAGCCACCCTTTAAAACCCACAACCAAAAAAAAAAAAAAAGTCAATTCATGGCCTAATATAAAGCTTCAAAGAAATTCTAGAAAATCAATCAGCTATTTTATTACATGGAGCAGTGAACATTATGTGGGTGTTTCACAGAAGAGTCAAGAATCAGGAGTGTAAAGATCTCAGAGTTAAACTAAACCAGAAACAAGCAAACTTTTTCTGTGAAGGACCAGATAGTAACTATTTTAGGCTTGCGAGCTCTACCATGTCTGCAACTACTTAACTCTGCTGTTGTAGCACAAAAGCAGCTAATATGTATAGACAGTATGTAATCAAATGAGCATGGCTGTGTTCCAATAAAACTTTATTCATAACAAATAGAGTAGGCTAAGCTTGGACCATAGGCTGCCCTTTCTCAGCTGTTGATCTAGACCAATGTGTTTCTGTGACAAATAGAGAAACAAAGACATAGAGCGATGAAGTAAATGTTCAAAAGCCAGTTATGAAAGAGGGAAAAGAGTTAGAAAGTCATTCAGTATTCAGTCAACAATATCTATTGAGCATGATTTACATTCTACGCTATTTTAAACAAAGGAGAGGCAAAGATGAAGAAAACAGAAGAGATTCCTGCTCTTTCAGACTTCACATTCTAGCATGGGTGCCACAGTAAATCATGTAAGACTGCTCTAACTGCTGTGAATGCCATGAAAACAGGAAAATGTGACACGGGGCCATTTGGGGAGTGGGGGTAGGTACAGGTGGGACAATTCAATTGGCTTTCAAGGGAGACAACTGAGCCAAAACCTAAATAGGGGCCCCCCAGGTGGTGTAAGGGGTTAAGCACATCACTGTGAAGCTATCAGCAGCCTCTGCAGCACAAGTTCAACCCCCAGCCGGCCAGGGAGCAGCCCACATGGAGCAGCAGACCTCTCCTGTCTCCACCTGCTGCTCTCTTCAGCACATCTGGCCTGTAACCCAGTTCTTCTATGCATACATAAATAAATCTTTAAAAAAAACTTGCCCTCCATAGAAAGATGACATCTATTAAGTATCCCCTTTACATAAATTCTTATTTCATCTTCACAGGCTTTTGTCACTGATGGGGAAAACCGGGTTAGCGGCTAATAAACCTGCTCCCAAGGTGGCCCAGGATTTCTAGGCCTGTCCTGTCTGGCTCCAGATGTTTGACACTGTCCTTCATGCCAGTGTATCTCTGCCATTTCACACTCAGATAACATAGGAATCCCCTCAGAAATTTAAAACATCTCAGTCTAAACAGTTTTGTTCAGAAACTGACTGTGCAGTAAAATACAGATTAAATTTTAACTAGGCATTACAGCATCAAAAACTGCTTTGATGACCTGATGCTTGAAATTAAATACATTTTGCACTTTAAAAGTTAAACTGATATTTTTAGTTTTTCATATTTTGTCTCTAAATAAGATAGGAGAGAAGCTTTCATGGCTGGATTTTCAAGCATCTCTGCAAACAAAACCTTCATGAATAATATTTATTTCAAACAAATAAAAAGCCAAAATGAAATGCTTTTTTTTTATTTTAATATTGGCTTTTGAAGTACTACAGACTCTCAAAGTGCTATATCAGAATTTTGATTAGCTAAATGCAGATCGTTGATTTGATCAAGATGATCAGGAGGCAAATAATTCCAATTGTCTTTTTAAATTCCAACACAACTATTCCTTATGCTGCCCATCTTCAACCCATAGTCTGTTAGGGGTAAAATTAAACAAAATATGACTACTGGCAGGAATGCGTTCACCCATGTGGAGTATTGGCACCCACCAGCGAAGTGAGCAGAGTCGAGCTAAAGGACAGATCACTGCACATGCTCACTCCATGTGCACCCCACACTCCTGGTGTGGGGGGAGGGAAGGACAATATTTAAATACTAATCCTCACCTTGAATGTTGGGAGACAGAACCCTTTAATGCGTTTACTGGAAATGCCCAGCTCCCTGACCCAGGCCCAGCATGAGAAGAGTGGACTCCTAGGCAGCAAATCAGAAGGAGGCCCCCACTCTCAGGGAACACACTGGACCTGCACTATTCTTCTGATTGGCATCCCTATCCACCTCTCCTTAGACACAGCAACCCAACCTTCCTATAAATTTTCAGTTACCCATTCAGCAGTTTCCTCTAACTCCTAAAACCCCAAGCCAGCACTGACTTTACCTCACAGGTGCTGCAGAACTGGTCCATACAAATGTGCAGTGGCGCTCCTCTGCCGTGTGCCTCTCTCGGGTGTTGGCTAATGCATCTATTTTGTGACACCTTTGGTTGTGGTTAAAATATTTTCTTTTTTCATGAAATTCTTTTTCTTTCTTTTCTCAGGAATAAGGGGTCCTTTAGGAGGAAAACATAAAACAACAGACATCACTGATTGCTGAAATTGCCAAACAACCACAACCATTTTTAAATTATGGAGTTCTTTTTTTTTTTAATGGGGTTCTTGAGCCAAAAGAGATTCCTAGAGGTCCTTTGGTCCAGTCCCCCACCCCCAAGCCAATCATTGCTACATGATGGAATCACCACGTTGAGAGCAGAAACCTGCAGAGTTTGGACAACTCAAGGTGCTACTCCCTCACTACAGAATATTGCCAAGTCGAAGTCACTCTACCTTACAGGAACCATTATCTACACTGCATACTTTACAGGAGGGGTTGGGGAAGGAAGACCTAAATAAAGTAATGTACATAATCAACAGGACTTAATAAAACATCTTGAGCATTTTAAAGTGAAAGAAATCATTTAAAATCTCTAGGAGATGGAAACCTATAGAATCCCTTCATTGCTTTCTCTGTATATAGTCCACCACATGGGGAAAATTGACCCTTCCATCTAATGACCGTACTAAGTACACTAACCGCACATCTCATTTTCCTTCTGGAATTAGATAAAACTATGTTCAAATCCTGATGCCACCATTAGCTGTGTGATCTTGGATAAGTCACCTAACCTCTCTGAGCATCTACTTTCCTTCTCTGTAAAATTAAAATATGATATCGACCTCAAAAAACTGTTACAAGGTGGAAAGGCAGGAAAGGGACACGGTGCAGGTTTTCTAGGATCCAGCAGACCGGGTGAAGGAGTAGTCAGAGTTCTCGGTGGTTTTGCAGGCTTTTATTGGAATTACCAGGCACACGGCAGGCAGGGGTGCTGGGGGGCCGGGAGGCTGGCAGTTCTCCCAGCCCCCAGCAAATCCACACTCTGTCTGGGCTCTCTGGCGTTCTCTGCTTCTGCTTCTTTGCTTCTCTCTTGGCTTCTCTTCGGCTTCTCTCCGGCTTCTCTCGGCTTCTGCTTGGCTTCTACTGGCGTCCCCGTGACACCGCCCTTAAAAGCCCAATCTCAGCCCAGGTGAATCCTATCTACATCTGCCCACACCCTACTCCAGGTGCCCGCCATCAGGCATGCATTCAGGACCACAAAGATCCATCATCTATCCTGATGGCAGGAGGGCAGAAAAGCCTGACATTTTTCCTTACCCTACACAAGGGCTGAGCAAAGTACAAGGAAAGCACACAGCACATTGAATATCTCAAGTAATAGCACTGTTAGTTTTAGTATAAAAACATATCTTTGGAGTTACTAAAGCTCCATTTGGTCCTCTTGTTATTCTCCAGAACCAACATTCTTGTTACCTCTAACTGTTGCCAATTCTCTAAATCCCTGTTTTTCAAACAAGCAATTCTCAAACTCTTTGGGGTCCTTAAACTTACTGAGAATTCAGTGGAAATTTCAGACCCTCTCTACTGGAAAGTTCACCCAGCAAACTTTAATACACAATTATAGAGATTCAGAAAACTTCTTAAGCCCTTTCACATCCTCCACCCCAGAAAGTTTATGGACTGCGGAGGAATTTAAAAAATTTCTCTTCTGCATCACACCACCTCACAGAAGCACCCCAGTCCTTTCAAACAGGCTTGGGTTATTGAAATGGGCCTACCTACCCTGAGGTGACTTTGGGTACAAATTACCAGTAGGCCCAAGGTTTTGCAGGAGCTTGAGGTTTGGAGAGAAAACATCAAGTTTAGGAGAAAGGCACCTCAGCACAGCCTGAGTCTGGCAAAATAAAGGCCCAATTACCAACCTCAGGTTTTCCAAATGTCAGTACCAATTTATCGGAAATCTTTCTCAGCTGAGAGGCATTAACAGCACCAAAGGGAGAAAGCTAAGTTGAGCCTGAGGCTGGTCAGGGAAGCATCAGGGCTCACAATTACAGGTTCCTTAACCATCTGCAAAGAGCCCAATGGGGGGGGCCCTAGGCAACCCCCCCCCCAAACACAAATGGTAAGATCCCTTTCCCTTCCCAAAGACACTATTGGGAGCAGACTGTCACCATCTTTAGCCACAACCACAGTGAGTTTCACTCATTTGGGATCCCTAATTGCCCATTTTGTGAGTTCATAGAAGAATTCAGCTAAAGAGCCCCAAAAGAAGCACCCAGGAGAGGTGTCTGAAGCCAACTGCCTGAGTCAGCATCCAGCCCCTCGGTTGGCTGCTGCTTTGTTCATTAATAGACCTTAGGAGGTCATTTAACCTTTCTGAGCCCAAGTTTCCTCATCTATAAAAATGCGGGTAACTCTCGTCTCTTGGGTTTGCAGTGAGCATTAAGTGAGGTGATACAAGAGTCTAGACTTAAGTCCTCACTGAATGGCAGCTGGAATTACTACAATACCATTATCATAATATTTAACATATTAAAAGACCACTTAGTATGTGTAGTTGCAATAGGCACCAAGCTTCACACTGGATTGAAGGGAGAACCCATTTCCAGACAATTGGAATGGGGTACGGCAAACTTTAGTACCTTAGTTGCCAGAGATTCAGAGAACTTCTTAAGCCCTTTCACACACTCCACCCCAGAAAGTTCATGGACCACAGAAGAATTCTGAAAATTTCTCCATTTCCTACCGACTTTGGCGATGCTGTTTATCCTTGCAGACTTCTGTGAAGTTCCCTCTTGCAGGGAGTATTTAGTGTGGTTGAGAGAACACGACCACTTTTGAGAAGGAAATTCAGCAGTTAGACTTTTTGTTCAGTCAGACTGGCCTTTGCCCTAGTTAGTCCTAAGTAGTGCGATTCGTCCACAGGGAAAGAAAAATTGACCAACGTACTGTCGGTGAGCTAGAAGCTTTCACAGCTATTTTACTTAAGCTTCACAACCTGGCTATGTAGGTATTATCTTCATTATAAATGAGACATGAGAGATCCAGGAAGTGCTCTTTTGGTATAAGATCACAAACAGCTCCCTAGGATTTCAGCACAAGTCACTACAATCCTCCATTCAACAAACTGCCAGAGTCTGTTTTCCTCAATGGCAACTTCACCCTCCACAGCACTAGAAATAGCTGGAGTGAGCTCAGGCCACACACAGCAGCTGTGTAAGGTGTCTGAGGAGAAAGAAAGAGAACATTTCTACTTCAATGGTTTTGCTAAAGAGAGATTGCACTGGGTACTTCTCAAACCTGCCAGGGAAAGCTATTTAAGATAGCAGGAGAGATTGAACTCAAATCTGAACACAAGGGCAAGTGGAGATTTATAGCCCATAGGAAGGTCAGGGAGAGAGGATGGAAATTTACTCCAAGGAACTTAGACAGGGATCAGGTGCCAATATGGGGATGGGGATACACAGGAAGTTGATTATCAAGTGCCAGGCATTAGGAATGATCGGATATTAAGGGGGTGAGGGGAAGGAGGTTTTCCCTGAACTGACTCTAGCCAAGCACAGAACCAAAGACAGGGACTAATTGAATAGAGAATTCCAAGGAGCCTGACTAAAGTTTGATAAGGCGCGAGTCCTTGTCAGTATAACATGATGGATTGCAAATAGGGCCATAGTTCTCTTCCTGTATCTGTATCTTTTGTAATGTGTCTCTGCAGCAATTCCTATCAAGAGGCAGAATCTATAGCCCATTCTTTATATTTTATCTGGTCTTAAATATGATTTTCTTCAGCCAATAGAAAGTTTTGGAAGCAACATGGTGCCAGATCTCAGCCCAGCACACTCTCTCCACCTCCCTCCAGGTAAGTTTGCTGCCATGTGAGCAGGACTAGGCTAGTGTAGGGTAAGGGAAAATGTCAGGCTTTTCTGCCCTCCTGCCATCAGGATAGATGATGGATCCTTGCGGTCCTGAATGCATGCCTGATGGCGGGCACCTGGAGTAGGGTGTGGGCCTAGGTAGATGAGAGCCACCTTGGCTAAGACTGTGCTTTTAAGGGCGGCGTCACGGGGACGCCAGTAGAAGCCAAGAACGAACAGAAGCCGAAAGAGAAGCCGAGAAAGAAGTAGCAGAAGCCGAAAGAGAAGCAGAGAATGCCGGAGAGCCCAGACAGAGTGAGGATTTGCTGGGGGCTGGGAGAACTGCCAGCCTCCTGGCCCCCCGGCACCCCTGCCTGCCGTGTACCTGGTAATCTAAATAAAAGGCCTGCAAAAAGCCACTGAGGACTCTGATTCCTCCTTCACCCGGTCTGCTGGATCAGAAAACCTGCACTGTGGTCTTCCTGACCCTACAGCTAGCCTTATGGATGGCAAGAGAAATAGGACCCTGCCCCACACACCCCATGAACCCCTTCGCCTCTACAACATCCCCAGGTAGCAGACCCACTCCTTTGATCTGCAGCTGATTGAGGACACATGAGTAAGCCCAGCAGCAACCAGAGGGATTTGCCCAGCAGACCCCAGTCCTAAATGCTAACCTATAGAATCAAATTGTCAGCCAAAAAAAGGGGGGGGAGGGGTTACTGTATTAAGCTACTAAATTTGGGGGCTGTTTGTTATGAGGCAACTGATAGTCTCAAACAAATGCACAGACTGAAATCATCTGAAGAGTTTTAAAAAGCCGTGGCTCCTGGGTCTTCCCCCTACTCCTTGAAGAGGTGCTCATTAGTTTGATCTACAATGCAAGCACCAAGATTCGTGAAAGTTCCCTAAGCAGTTCTAATGTGTGGCCAGGATTGAGCTTCATTCCCCATCTGCATGGTGATGGGTTGTTATTAGATGGTCTCAGAGGCCCCTTCCTGCGTTGAGTTTCTAATCAGCAAAGCACGGATGGCTTGAAGGCAATGGAGTACTTTCCCAGCCTAAAGCTTACAAGGAAAACACTCAGCAAACTAAGTGCAAATGCAAAACAGTGGCCTAGACCTGCCAGGAGCATGTGTAGAAGTGGGACTGAAGTAGCTGAGAGTGTAGGATTGGTAAGCAAGGAGGGCTTCCTGAGGGGAAAGCCCTGGGTCTTAGAACAACTGTTGGCTGAGGAGCAGAGCAGAAAGCATGCTGTGTCAGGGCGAGACATCCAGACGGGCTTAGATGCACATGAGGTTTTTGGGGGTCTCAAACAGATCCACAAACTGAAATCATCTGAAGAGTTTTAAAAAGCTGTGGTGCCTGGGTCTTTCCCCTACTCCTTGAAGAGGCTCTCATTAGTTTGATCTACAATGAAACCTTGTACATATGATGCACATGAGCTCTATGAGCTTCCCCCCCCATACATTATAAAGAATTCCTTTACTTTTGCCATTATGCAAATCACCTTAGTATCTATTGATTGCATTTGCATGTGAAGAGGGATGCTGTGTTTGGAACAAATGTATTTTCAGGTGTATTTTAATTAATCCTCCTGCAGGAAGATGGTGATGAGAGGGGCAGGTATGGAAATATTACTCTTTCCTGCTAATAGAATTTGGCACTTCTGGAGCCTGCCCAGTGCATTCTGACGGTGGGATTAGTGAGGCAGGTGGGAGCTGAACAGCACATCCTCCTGCAGGGTTTATCAAGAATTCGTGCTGGCTGCCGCCTGCAGACAGCGCAGCCAGTGGAGAGCAGGCAGCTAGCTCTAGGACAGATTCTGGCAGCAGCCCCAGGTCAACATGGAGGAGAGCTCCTTTCTCTTCACACCATTATCTTTTTACTTCCATGTGGCTTGGCAGAAGTCATCAAAAAGCTATCATATTCTGTCTGCTTGCTGGATATAGGCTTGTCTAGTCAGAAGAAAGCCTCACGGCTGTTTAACCATCCCCTTTGCTCTTTGCAGCTAGAGTTAATATTATGCCTCATTTGCATCCAACATTTACCTTTACTCATTAAACTCTAAAAGCCACAGTACTTGACAGCACTGTCTCTGATAAAGATTGCCGTCCTTTCAGAAGAACATGTCTCTTCTCATGAAACATCCTAAAACACATTTTACTCAAATACAAGATTTCTGAAACAAATCCGGCGATTCCTCTCCTGGCTATCCCCAGGAAAATGTGGGAAGACAGCACACAGCATGGGGAGCCAGAGAGGAAGGGCCAGTGCTCAAGTCCCAGCTGCCCTCACTAACTGTGGCGGAAGTAAGACCTCAGCCTTGGAATTTGAAGTGTATTTGTGGCTCTATGTTTCCCTGTTTGTGCTTTTTCTTTTTTCAATAATTTATTCAAATCTGCATGTGGAAAGAAATGAGTGAAATGGACCGCTAGCTTGATGTCAGGTGTTAGCACTTTGATTTTATGAGCTCCCTTTTTCAGAATAGTCAAAAGCCTTAGTGAGGGGTGTTTGCCAGTGTCCATAGTTCTGCCCCAGGCGCACAGTTAGTAAAGGGAGAAAGTGCCTTTTTCTCTAAGGTGGGTCCCAAGAGGGTGGCTATGCCCTTGTGGGTCTGCCCTTCAACAAGTGAGCTCTATCAACTCAGAATTCAGGAAGGGTCAAACATGATACAACCCCACCTTCAGCAGAGGAATTAAGCATGAGTAAGTCTAAACCCTAATTAATTTTCTTGGATGGGGAATGAGGATGGCATATCAATTATAACCTAGCTATGTTGTTATGTTGTAAGATCCTCAGTGCTGGGGCAGGGAAGCATAGTGTTTTGAGGTGACAAGCAAGAAAATAATGGATAACAGGAAAGATGGGGGCCATAGTGCACATGGCCCTATTTTAATGGTCACGGGAGGGAGACACTAGCTTCTTTCAGATAAGCAGGTATTGTGATCAATTAAACTGCT